TTACTTAATCAGCATGGCTGATATAAGATAACTGCTCCTATCTCAGATGAAATCTCATGGGTCATCTCAGGATGCAATTTAGAATGTTGGGGTTGTTTCTTTTAGATCAAGCATCTGTCCTTTCCTGAGTTGGACATACATTGGCATAGTAATCTTACCGTAGTTCAACTAAAGTAAAAAAATAAAATAATGCCATATGTGACTGTTTGGAAGGCTCTGTCTGGCAGTGCAAGGAGAGGGATTTAATTGTTTCTTTGGCGTGAGCGGGGCCTAAGAGAATGCTTTTTGCAGGGAATATTATGTCGGTGTCACATAGATTGAACTTCTTGTACATCAGGCCTTGTCTGTCTCTGTCAGTCTATCTCTGTATACAGATATATTTATATATATATATAATTTGCGGGGAGGAGTTTGTTCCACTTTTGGCCGGTTGGTGGAATTTGTATTGGGCGCGTTGAAGTATGCCATGATATAAAGTGGTTTAAGTCTGTGTAAGAGTTGCTGCTGCGGACATGTTTGGGAACATAGGTTTTATAGCCACAAATGTTTAAAGCTTGGATTAGTTCTCTCTTTTTGATTGCTTTTCATCACACTGTTCTTGATCTACTGATTTCCTTTCTTTTCTTTGTTGCTATACAAAGCAATATACTATTAACTTTACTTGTTATCTTGTTTTATAACCTTATGAAGTGCTTAAACTGAGAAAAAAAATGGTGGATCGTTAATGTAGCAGTCCAAAAAAGAAGATCTACTCTGGAAGGATCTATATTTCAAGTGAGAGAGACCTATCTTATGACTCAAAGTTAGAGACAATGTAAAGTGTTTTTAAATTTTAATCTTGGACAAATTAGGTTAATTAAATTCTAAAAATTCAAATTTGTTTATAGTCTTTGCCCTGTCCATTTAGCTTTAACATTTTTACTTAGTAGAATGAGATTATCAAACAGCATCTCAGTTCAGTTGTTAATTAGTGAAGTGAAAATGTGAGATTGTTTTGTGGTGACAACACCAGCGTCATCACTTTAATACTGTCTGGTTATGAAACATTCTATTGCCCATATTTTGAATCTAGTCCAAGTATAGGATTCGTTGTACGCCATCAATACAATGGTCCTTTGTATCCAGATGACAAAGATAGTTATATATCAAAGAAGTTAGATTTCCATTCATATGTAATTCAATTTTTTTTTTCTCAATGTAGAGTAATTTAAGTTATTTGGTACTTATTCAAACTATTTGATCTGTTGTTTCAGATATTTTAACAGCTGCACAAGCTGTATTCCAAGGTCAGAATGTAAGTGCGCATCAGCTCCTTTCTATTTTCTCTGCATTTTTTGTTTGTGCTTTAAATTTTTGACATCCTAGTTGAGAACTTTGTTAACTTTTTTGGTAAACTTGCTTTGTTTATTGTTAATTGAATGCTAAAATGGTTCCACCAAATAATTTATATGATTGGTGTTCTTAGTAGTTAGGGTCATATTTAGCCTTCAGCCAGATATGCTACTAATACTGTCAAAATTACTTCTCTCTTTCTCTGCAGGAAGGACCAACAAAGGCCAGAGAAATTCTCGGTAAGATCTTGATCCAGTAATGACAATTACATCATATATGGCATTTTCAAGGCTATGTCCAATTTTCTAGAGAATCCATAAATCTTTTTATATTATGCAGATACTGTGATGAATATTTATATCAAGACTATGACTGAAGATGATGACAAGGAAGTTGTTGCTCAAGATTGTATGAGCATAGCTGACATCATCAAGGACATTGGATACATAGTGGTTGAGCCATGTAAGTATGAATTCTGGTTTTTGATTCTATCAGTTGAAATCCTTGTTTTAGTGCAAAGCAAATTATTAGGTCTAATATGCTTCCCAATCTGATTCGGTTTCAGATATGCCTCGGCTTGTTGAGGCAACTTTGGTATTGCTTAGAGAAGAATCAGCGTGTCAGCAAAAAGAATCTGATGGTGAAATTGATGATGACGATGCTGAACATGATGACGTGCTGATGGATGCAGTTTCTGACCTCCTACCTGCATTTGCAAACTCCATGGGTATCCATTTTGCGCCCATCTTTGAGAAGCTGTTTGGTCCCTTAATAAAATTTGCGGTGGGTCAGCAACTGCTATTGACATGCATATTCATAATATCTTGCCGTCTGTTCATAATTTTAGACTCATATTTTGTAATTGACAATTGCAGAAAGCTTCACGCCCACCACAAGATCGGACCATGGTGGTTGCATGCCTAGCAGAAGTTGCTCAGCATATGGGTCCTCCTATTGCAGGCTATATTGATGTAATTTATCAGGAATCTAAGACTAGCTGTTTAATTTGGATTTTTTTTGGTTTCTCGTTTATATGGAGTTAATTTCCAAGAAATTGGGTAATGTTTCAGGCTGTAATGCCATTGGTACTCAAAGAACTGGCATCACCAGTGGCAACTAATAGGAGGAATGCTGCTTTTTGTATTGGAGAGCTGTGCAAAAATGGTGGTGATTCCTCTCTGAAGTATCCTTCTAAATGCATACAAATATACAATTTTTTCATTTACTTATTTTTTCGTTTTTCTGATATTTGTTGTTTTGGGTTTCCATTTTTTTCACGGGGGTTGAAGATATGTAATTTTCAACTATTTTTGAATTAAATTCTGTTTCACGATATTGCATTTGCTTTGTTAGAGCGTTTCCTTTACAACTATGCAAGATACTATGGCGATGCACTACATGGACTTTATCCATTATTCGGGGAGTCTGAGCCAGATGATGCTGTAAGGGACAATGCAGCTGGTGCAGTGGCAAGGATGATAATGGTGCACCCTGAATCCATCCCGTTGCATCAGGTTTATCATCTGGTCACCTTTAATTCTTATCCAGTCCTTATGGCCTAAATTCTGTTTGGGTGCTCAAATTATTTTGTTTTTGTCCCCCCTCTTAGGTGCTTCCCGTTTTCTTGAAAGTTCTTCCTTTAAAAGAAGATCACGAGGAGTCCATGGCTGTCTATAGTTGTGTTTGTAATCTTGTTTTATCATCCAATCCCCAGGTATTAATCGTTTCTCTCTTATTAAGGGTTTGTTTAATTAGAAAGTAATAAATGATGGGAAGTGAAACTGATATAAAGTGAAAGAAAAGAAAGTATATTTTCCGCATGCAAATTAAGATGAAAATTTTACGAGAGAGAAATTAGGAATTATAAATTTAAGTAACTACTTTTAAGAACAAATTTAAACTTGTATTTTCTTTTCTTCTTCTTCTTCTTCTTCTTCTTCTTCCTTCTTTTTTTTTTTTGGAGAAACTAAAAGCTTAATTATCATGCTAATATAGGTTGTAAAGGAAAAACAATTTGCTTGTAACTTCCACCACTTTCATGTTAAACGAACTTAGAAAAAGTTTTATTTTTCTCCATTTCTCACACTTTTCACTACTTTCATCCCAACCAAACTTAACCTAAAATGAGACAGAGAGAGTGAACAGAAAGGTGCTATCCTCGCTCTCTTTACTTTTCTTCTATTTCATTTTTGTTTCCTGCAAATGATACCCGCTAACCCTTTTCTTGGGGATTTCTTTTCATTCTAAATGCAAAACAGATCCTGTCTCTAGTTCCGGACTTGGTTAATCTTTTTGCCCAAGTTGCAGTATCGCCCGTTGAAACATCTGAAGTCAAAGCTCACATAGGCAGGGCTTTCTCTCACCTGATATCTATTTATGGGCATCAGATGCAACCTATTTTGAGCAGCCTTTCACCAACACATGCTAATGCCTTAGCTGCAATTGCTCCGAAATGTTGACGCATTCAGGACCTGCCGGCCTGATATTTTTTTGGTTACACCCCGCGCCCCCCTCCTTCGGTAATGAGATCATTTCTCATGTTGTGGTTTCTTTTAATCTATTTGGAGTTGATGGCGATCCCCCTACTGAAGAGTTTCTGGTCTGAATCAGGTATGCATATAGGGGTTGTCTGGTGCACAGCTTGTAGAGCTGTTTATTGCAGTTTATTTTATTTTATTTTTTTTGGTTGAAAATATTTGCTAGAATGTTTGATGCAACTTCTGCATATAGCTTTTGAGGCAAAAATAGCTTGAGTAAGCTAAAAAAAACTGATCATTGGGAAGTAGGGGGAAGATGTACTTTTAGCTTATGCTTTCTAATTATCATCTTTTTGCTTGTTAGAAGTTTGCACCAAACATGTCATAGTAAATTACCAAAATAGTGTGCCATGAAAAATAATTTTCATAGCCATAATATCTTGCCGTCTGTTCATAATTTTAGACTCATATTTTGTAATTGACAATTGCAGAAAGCTTCACGCCCACCACAAGATCGGACCATGGTGGTTGCATGCCTAGCAGAAGTTGCTCAGCATATGGGTCCTCCTATTGCAGGCTATATTGATGTAATTTATCAGGAATCTAAGACTAGCTGTTTAATTTGGATTCTTTTTGGTTTCTCGTTTATATGGAGTTAATTTCCAAGAAATTGGGTAATGTTTCAGGCTGTAATGCCATTGGTACTCAAAGAACTGGCATCACCAGTGGCAACTAATAGGAGGAATGCTGCTTTTTGTATTGGAGAGCTGTGCAAAAATGGTGGTGATTCCTCTCTGAAGTATCCTTCTAAATGCATACAAATATACAATTTTTTCATTTACTTATTTTTTCGTTTTTCTGATATTTGTTATTTTGGGTTTCCATTTTTTTCACGGGGGTTGAAGATATGTAATTTTCAACTATTTTTGAATTAAATTCTGTTTCACGATATTGCATTTGCTTTGTTAGAGCGTTTCCTTTACAACTATGCAAGATACTATGGCGATGCACTACATGGACTTTATCCATTATTCGGGGAGTCTGAGCCAGATGATGCTGTAAGGGACAATGCAGCTGGTGCAGTGGCAAGGATGATAATGGTGCACCCTGAATCCATCCCGTTGCATCAGGTTTATCATCTGGTCACCTTTAATTCTTATCCAGTCCTTATGGCCTAAATTCTGTTTGGGTGCTCAAATTATTTTTGTTTTTTTCCCCCCTCTTAGGTGCTTCCCGTTTTCTTGAAAGTTCTTCCTTTAAAAGAAGATCACGAGGAGTCCATGGCTGTCTATAGTTGTGTTTGTAATCTTGTTCTATCATCCAATCCCCAGGTATTAATCCTTTCTCTCTTATTAAGGGTTTGTTTAATTAGAAAGTAATAAATGATGGGAAGTGAAACTGATATAAAGTGAAAGAAAAGAAAGTATATTTTCCGCATGCAAATTAAGATGAAAATTTTACGAGAGAGAAATTAGGAATTATAAATTTAAGTAACTACTTTTAAGAACAAATTTAAACTTGTATTTTCTTTTCTTCTTCTTCTTCTTCTTCTTCTTCTTCTTCTTCTTCTTCTTCTTCTTCTTCTTCTTCTTCTTCTTCTTCTTCTTCTTCTTCTTCTTCTTCTTCTTCTTCTTCTTCTTCTTCTTCTTCTTCTTCTTCTTCTTCTTCTTCTTCTTCTTCTTCTTCTTCTTCTTCTTCTTCTTCTTCTTCTTCTTCTTCTTCTTCTTCTTCTTCTTCTTCTTCTTCTTCTTCTTCTTCTTCTTCTTCTTCTTCTTCTTCTTCTTCTTCTTCTTCTTCTTCTTCTTCTTCTTCTTCTTCTTCTTCTTCTTCTTCTTCTTCTTCTTCTTCTTCTTCTTCTTCTTCTTCTTCTTCTTCTTCTTCTTCTTCTTCTTCTTCTTCTTCTTCTTCTTCTTCTTCTTCTTCTTCTTCTTCTTCTTCTTCTTCTTCTTCTTCTTCTTCTTCTTCTTCTTCTTCTTCTTCTTCTTCTTCTTCTTCTTCTTCTTCTTCTTCTTCTTCTTCTTCTTCTTCTTCTTCTTCTTCTTCTTCTTCTTCTTCTTCTTCTTCTTCTTCTTCTTCTTCTTCTTCTTCTTCTTCTTCTTCTTCTTCTTCTTCTTCTTCTTCTTCTTCTTCTTCTTCTTCTTCTTCTTCTTCTTCTTCTTCTTCTTCTTCTTCTTCTTCTTCTTCTTCTTCTTCTTCTTCTTCTTCTTCTTCTTCTTCTTCTTCTTCTTCTTCTTCTTCTTCTTCTTCTTCTTCTTCTTCTTCTTCTTCTTCTTCTTCTTCTTCTTCTTCTTCTTCTTCTTCTTCTTCTTCTTCTTCTTCTTCTTCTTCTTCTTCTTCTTCTTCTTCTTCTTCTTCTTCTTCTTCTTCTTCTTCTTCTTCTTCTTCTTCTTCTTCTTCTTCTTCTTCTTCTTCTTCTTCTTCTTCTTCTTCTTCTTCTTCTTCTTCTTCTTCCTTCTTTTTTTTTTTTGGAGAAACTAAAAGCTTAATTATCATGCTAATATAGGTTGTAAAGGAAAAACAATTTGCTTGTAACTTCCACCACTTTCATGTTAAACGAACTTAGAAAAAGTTTTATTTTTCTCCATTTCTCACACTTTTCACTACTTTCATCCCAACCAAACTTAACCTAAAATGAGACAGAGAGTGAACAGAAAGGTGCTATCCTCGCTCTCTTTACTTTTCTTCTATTTCATTTTTGTTTCCTGCAAATGATACCCGCTAACCCTTTTCTTGGGGATTTCTTTTCATTCTAAATGCAAAACAGATCCTGTCTCTAGTTCCGGACTTGGTTAATCTTTTTGCCCAAGTTGCAGTATCGCCCGTTGAAACATCTGAAGTCAAAGCTCATATAGGCAGGGCTTTCTCTCACCTGATATCTATTTATGGGCATCAGATGCAACCTATTTTGAGCAGCCTTTCACCAACACATGCTAATGCCTTAGCTGCAATTGCTCCGAAATGTTGACGCATTCAGGACCTGCCGGCCTGATATTTTTTTGGTTACACCCCGCGCCCCCCTCCTTCGGTAATGAGATCATTTCTCATGTTGTGGTTTCTTTTAATCTATTTGGAGTTGATGGCGATCCCCCTACTGAAGAGTTTCTGGTCTGAATCAGGTATGCATATAGGGGTTGTCTGGTGCACAGCTTGTAGAGCTGTTTATTGCAGTTTATTTTATTTTATTTTTTTTGGTTGAAAATATTTGCTAGAATGTTTGATGCAACTTCTGCATAGCTTTTGAGGCAAAAATAGCTTGAGTAAGCTAAAAAAAACTGATCATTGGGAAGTAGGGGGAAGATGTACTTTTAGGTTATGCTTTCTAATTATCATCTTTTTGCTTGTTAGAAGTTTGCACCAAACATGTCATAGTAAATTACCAAAATAGTGTGCCATGAAAATTAATTTTCATAGCAGGATTTTGATTGAATTCTTCTGTTAATACAGTCTGTCATTAGTTGGTGCCCATCCTTTCTCAACTCTAACCCAACGGAACTTATAATTTTGACTACTTAGGATTGGTCCATTAAATTTGCCAAATAGCTCTCTTGGGCCATATGTTCCGCTAAATCATCAGCCAATTTTCTGTTGTCACCATTTCTGCTTATATATTCTGTGGTTTCCCTCTTATCCTTGCATAGTTATCATTGCTTAGCTTAGCTCTTACCACACTTCTATGGGTTTTGTTTGCACAACTGGATTTTCTTTGACAATTGTTTTCACCTCTGAATTGCTCTGCCTCTATTTGGATATTATTATTATTATTTTAACCATCAGGAAAATTTTGGGCATCAGAACCAAGCATAAATTTAGGTTTGTACTGAATTAGATTCTATGCTACATGGACTCTTATAAATTTGTTAAGCACTCATTTCGACACTTACACTTGGGTTAGGGTTTAGTTGGACATACACCCAACAAATATATTTTTAGTGGCAGAGTTTTGTAATATGAAACTATGCATAACTTCCATTCTATGTATAAAAAGCTATGTTAGTCTGTAAACTTCATTTTACCCTAAATAAAATATTAAAAATATGAAATTTAGTCGTGTCCTACTGTTCTTGGGCATGGGAATTAGATGAATTCGATACTGAAACACATATCCTACCTACCAGGCATCTATACCTGAGTCCATATAACATAGATCAAACTACTACTATTTGCAACAAGACCCTTTTTTTCTTTGTTTGCTTTCCTTTTTTTTTTTTTCTTTTTTCCACCTGAAAATAATTTTGCTTCTCATCCTTCCAACGGCAAAAGTTGTCAAAGTATGTTCTTGGCAGTCTATTTAGGCCCTATTTGGGAATTTGGTTATTTTAGTTGGCTTTTTGACTGGACTAGCTAAAAAAGTTGTGTTTGGGAAGATAGTTGGTTTTTTTAATATTTTTTTTAATTTTTTTATAGTTGATTTGATGGTTGTGAGAGAAATATTTAAAATGATCATAGTTTAGATGTGACAACCTATTTTGTTTTTATTAGCTATTTTAGCCGCCAATTATCTTCCCAAACGGGGCCTTAATTGCATATTTTTTGCCCATTCAATTTTCACCATTTGCAAATATCGCAAGTTCATATCCTTGATTCATTCTTGCAGGTGTGGTTTGTGTTCTACCAGCTGTCTCCATTTTTCCCGCTTGGAGGCACTGCTCATTCTTCCAGTGTTCACAGATACAGTATTTCATGTTTTTGGTTATTATTTTCTTGTAATTTATATTTATTTTTTTAAACTTGGGTGCTGGTTAATTTTATTTATATGTTTTGTTGAGAGCAAGTAGCTAAGAGTTGAGTTGTGTTGTGTGAAGATGTGTAAATTGCAACCTGCCAGAGCCCTAAGCAGGAATAAAGTTTTGTTTTTTTTGGATACATTGTTTTACCATCTAGTGTGCATGTATATTTTATTTTATGTTTTTTTGTTTGGTTTTAGCTGTTTCTTGCAAATTCTACAGTGGGTTAATTAGACAGTCACTCAACAGAAACATCTTTTTATCTCAACTTTGAAATCATACACATAGGTGCATGGGTAACATTTGCAGTTTATTATTTATTTTTTTAACAAACAAGAACAAAGTACCAAGTTTAGTTACTTGTGTATTTTGAAACTTGTTTGTGGAAATAAGCGAGAGATGACAGAAGGTGGTTATTGATGGTCGTAGATGATGGTTGGAGTTAATTGTCGGCTATTGCAGGTAATTTTTGGCAAGAGGTGGATGTTGTTGCCGGCGGTGGTTGGTGGAGGCCAAAGGTATTTGGGCCTCTGAAGGTAGTAGTTAGAGGTGACAGTGGAAGGTGGTTAATTGAGGGCAAATGTGATTATCAGTTACGAGGAGTGATGGTTGAAGGAGGTCATTGGCAACAGTGAATAGAGAGGTGGGTGTGGTTGGTGTTGGTGGTGGTGGTTGCTGCCTCATTAAATTTAGTTTCTCTTTAATAGCAATGGGATAACAACTAATTAATTTTTTTTCTTTTGCCCTTTCAGATTACTTGTCTAGAGTTTGACGTCATACTCAAGTTTTAAAAATTATTTTGGGACAAAAAGATGACCTTGCAATTTATGTTAAAATTTCAAACGTTACTTTTAATAGGTTCTTTTTATTTATTTATTATTTTGATGTAGTTTAAAATGACTCTTTAATTTATTCATAATTAGTGGTTCTAAATATAAAATATAGATATCTTGCGCAGATCAATAATTTACGTTTATAAAAATTAAAATTAAACAGTTCAAAACATAATATATATATATATATATATAAAAATATAAATATATTATATAAAATACTAAGTGGTGTTTTGGCAACATGGTAAAAAGTCAACTTTTTGACTTTGTAATTTTTTTAAATTACATCACTTCTTTATCTTTTTATATAAAAAAGTTGAAAAAGTCATAAAAAAGTCTAAAAATCAATTTTTTTTATCAATTTTTCAAAACACTACTAGGGCCTCGTTTGACATATTAACAAAATAGCTTGAAAGTCAAAAAAAAATTAAAAAATTAAAAAATCAACAAATATTAGAAAGTGAAAGATTCTTTTCTATTAATTATATTGTTTTACATATTTTTCATAAAAAATTTAAAAATGATGCAAACTTTATTAGTTTTTTTCCTATCATATTTTAATTAAAAAAATCGATGGTTCTATATGTACTAATTAATATAAGTAAAATATTACATGTATCAATTGATATACTAAGGTCCGTTTGGGAAGAAAAAGGTTAGGTTTTTTTGGCTAAAATAGTCACACAAAAAAAAAGGCTATTTTAGCCACAAAAAACAAAACATCAAATCCAACCTATAATCATTACAATCCTCTCTCACAAAAAAAGTCAAAAAAGCCAAAAAGTCCTTCCCAAACCAGGCTAAAATAGCCAAAAAGTCAAAAAACCAACCCACTTCCTAAACGGAGACTAATTAATATATCAACTTATGTTATAATATTATTATTTCAAAATTAGGATTTCATCTATTATACCAATTACAAAATTCAAGACTCGTAAAATTATGCCATTATTATTTAATTTTAAAATTATTATGGGACTAATTTATGAACAATGAGTGAGTGAAGTTGAAGCACTAGTTGGAAAGATGGCTAATGCTGCAACTAGAAGCTGCCATGGCTACTACTCCTTCCATTATTCTCCACCACCACCACCACCACCACCGTCAAACCTCTCGCTTCCATGGTCGTCGATCAGCTCTCGTCGTCCCTCCCCTAACTATGCATTTCGGACTCACAAACTTTCTCTCTCATCGACTACCACCAAAACCCTCCTCTCCTCCTCCTCCTCCTCTCTCACCCCTCCTTCTGCCTTGCCTTTCGACCTCTCTCCTCCTCCCATCGATCACGACCTCCTCGTAAGCACCTCTCTCTCTCTCTCTCTCTCTCACACACACACACACACACACACACACACGCACACACACACATACATATCCGTTGATGTTGATGTTGTTAATACTGTGTGTTTAACGAATTGATGAACTAATTGAATTTTGAGTGACTTCAATTGGATAGAAATTAAGATTCTAAAACGGATGGTTCTAATTTATTAATTTTCTCCCCCTATTTTTACTATATTTTTCATTAACTACTTGTTGACATTTAATGAAATCTTGGTTTGATTTTCTACTGATTGGAAGATTGGGATTGCTCTCATAAGCCTCAGTTAGTGGATTTTAAATTGAATTAGTTCCAACTCCAAGGCTAAATTCAATCATCTTTTGAAGTTTTCGTAAATATTCCTAATTTAGAATATTGAATTTTAAACATGGAACTTTAATGGTGTGACCAATAGAGTGTGGAGGAGATTGCCATTGTGGTGAAGGAGTGAGGAGGTCGCGGCAGTGTCGGTGGTTGGTGGTGTGTATTATGACATTTGATTTTGGAGTTTTGTCCAATAGAGTAATTTGATTAAGAGACACAAGTGTAATTAAAAAAATTAGAAAATGGTGTGCACTGAGACAATGTGTGGTGCGTAAATAGAATTTTCCAATGGGGAGTTATTTAAAAGTGATTCCTTTCCATATTTTCCCCATCAAATAAATATACAAGTCATGGAAAGTAAAATTTGTGAATTTTCTTAGGGCAATTTTGGCGTAGACAACATTGACACAGCTTCAAAAGAGGGGTTTCTCCCTTTATATATTAGTATAGATCAAGGTTTTAAAAAGCGGCTGCAACCGTTACGTAACGGTTGTGCTAGTTACCGCCACCCGTTACGGCCGCTTTTGCAATGTGATTGAGATTCACTTGTGTATCGGCCGTAGCGGCTGTTATAGCGGTCATAACGGTGCCATAACGGCCGTAACGGCCTGTTACGCACCATTACGTAATGGTTCCAAATTGCTTCTTTCGAAAAAACACAAAAAAAAAAAAAGAGTTGAAAATGGGACAAGAGAGATAGAGAGAGAAGAGGGAAGATGGAGGAACAAGAAATAGAGAGAGAGAGAGAATAGGGAAGATGAAGAACATGTTATTGATTTGTTGAAGTTGTGAGACCTATGCTATTTTATTCAGCTGCTATCACTCAACCATTTTGTTTGTGTGTATCTATCTATATATTGTTTGAAAATAATAATAATAATAATAATAATAATAATAATAATAATAAGTGTGGTCATTATCTATTTGGCTTGATTAATATATATATATATATATATATTTAGGTTTTTATTTATTCTCTTACTTTTGTCATTATTTATCTTATATATATTAGTTAGTGATTGATTTTTTTGTATAATATAAAGTCATTAATTATTAAAATAAAATGTAAAAAACTCAATTTATAGTGATTTAAAAATATGAAATATATTGGATCAAACTTAAAAATTTATAAAAATTGATCAATTTTTATTTTAAAACCCAATAAATATGATTATGGAAAAAAAATGTGCGTATCAATAAATTTTTTTCAAATTGTGCGAAAAATAAAAAAATTCACGGTACTGGTTATCGCAACCGTTACGCTACGGCTTTTACACCTAGCAACCGCAACCGCGCCACCGCCACCGTTACGGCGACCGCAACCGCTTTTCAGAACCTTGGTATAGATACAATGCAATTTGCGTCCAGATTGTTATGACCAGCAATAGCTTGAGAACTACCATACAAATAAGTAAGTTAATAAATAAACTGGAAGAAATTTGAAAAGGCTATGTTTGGATGGCAAGAATCAAGTGGAGAGAATATGAACCACATTACCAAGAATCACATTGTCAGTAATAGATTTCCAATGCCAATGCTATTCATGTATTTGGTTTGGTTAGAAATTAATTCACTATCTAAAATGATAAAAATTTAAAAATTGTGGGCCCAACTAACTTTTTTACTCTTAAATAGTCCAATTCCTCAAGGAATATGAGGTTATCATAGGGCGGGGTGGGGATCAAATTTCTATTCAGTTTGGGAATGTGATTCTTGGTGCAGTGCATAATCAAGAATTACGTTTCTATTCTATTCCATTCCAAACATTAGAATCATGAGGATTTGGAATTACATTTCCATTCAAACATAGCCTAAGGCCAATCTATGTATTGATGATCTCAAATATCCGACTACAGAATGTAAAGTAGAATGGTATTTGTTAACTGTAGCTTGTGTATATCAACGCAGCCTATTTGGTATCACTCATACTAGTGGTACGTACCATACTTGGTAACTTTTTGTACAAGTATACCTTTATTTGGATTGCTGAAGAATGACTTCTTTGCTCCCTTGCATGTTTTCTTTTCATAGTTTTAGTTACATAAACAAATGTTATTAAGGATTCAGGTACCACATTAGCTGTTTTGACGTGCTTACTGTGTTTTCTGTAATTCTACTGCATAAGTTTAGTGGTGCTCTTGCTCCTTTAATTTACTTCATGCCCTTCAATTTCATTGGCTTGGTCTCTGCAGGACACTGTGACGGTTGTGGGGGCAAAAATATCGGAAGATGGGATAATTGAAACATTTGACAATGATGATGAGGCATTGGATGCGGTTGAAAATGGTGTTGCGGTGTGTGACTAGTTTATCTAAAAATCTTGGATATATAAACCTCATCCCTTACACAGCTTTGTTGTAGTTGTTTGTTAATAATGTGGTTGTCTTGAGTCAAATATTGGATGGTATTTCAATTCTGGACTTAAGATGTCTGAATCTCCTGCCTTCACATTTTTTAATGCTGGAATCTTGAGCGCAACACATAAAGGCTTATGCACAAAAGCTTGAGTAGTAAAGATTAGAAAGATAACCATATGAAATTGGCTTTTAATGCTAGCTCAGTCCAATTTTGAGATCCTCTCTTGGATGAGACTGCTTTTTTTTTAATTCAACATTCAATGCAAAATACCGGAGTTGTCATCAAATAATATGTAGTTCTTGAACTTTGTTGGTACAGTTATGTTACATAATGCCAACATGTAGTTGTCATTAGGTCTAACGTCAATCATGGCAACTGGGGATATCTGAAACTTGGATAGACAAATTGATATCAAAATGGCATATTTGTGCTATCTTTTAGAAATATATGTGTGTGTCTGTGTGTGTGATGAGAAAATTATTGTTTGTTAGTATTGACCTTGGTAGGAGTTATCATGGAATTGATTTGAATTCATTTTTGAGGAGCTGGCTCATGGATCACTGAATTTGATTCTCTATGTTTAGAAATGCATCTATTCATAAATCTTAGACCCCTGTAGTTTCTATAGATCAAGGATTTGTTGCAAGACCGTTATATCAAAAGTCAATCCCTTGATTGGTTTTTGCTTACCTTTCAAATTTGTATGTAAAAATGGAATCAATTTCATTATATTGGTTGCTTTTTTCTTTGCTTTTGTCATTGGATTCTATTTCTCTTTCTTAAATGATAAAATTCCTTTTCTTATCCAACTTGAATGTGAACTTACTGGAACTCAACTTTAGTGGCATTGGATGCATGTTTTATTAGACTGGATAGATGTGTCAGAACTGGTTGGCTGAATGATTAAAAGTTTTTCATGACATCTGATGTTTTAGGTTGTGGACCTTTCACATTTTGGCCGGATAAGAGGTAAAAATTTCCCTCTTGCACTTCTTATCAATGAAAAATCACCTTATCTTTTACTTTTTCTTTTCATGTAACGATCTTTATTAGGAAATGATCATGCTAAGATAAAGTACATTGTTCAGATACTTTGTCCCCTAAAGATGGAGAAAAGAACATGGAAACTCAAATGAACTAAAAACTTACACAGTGGGAACTTTACATTACTTACTAAAAAAGAAAAAAGAAAAAAGAAAAAAGGATTTGGACTCTAAGACCCCGGACTGTTGGCAGTGACGGCTGAATGAGCGTGAATGTGTGATGCTCCTTCCTACATAGTCCACTTTTTCTACCTGGACCACCGGATTTAGTGTTTTCTAGCTATTAAGCAAGAGAAGCCTAAAGCTCCTCTGCCCTTGTGTTTTTTTTCAAGGGAAGACTGGTACTGCTAGGGTAGTCACATTGCTACACCCCTGGAGTTGGCTGGCTGACATTATCTGTTTGGAATTTTGGAATCCTCCAAGTTGGTCCCAGTTTGCTCAAATTCACATCTTACTCAAGACTTTCTCAGAACATTTTACAATAAGATTGAGGTTGATAATTTTATTTTCATCTTGAGAAAGATGGAATGATAGTCGAGGTGCAGATGAGCAAAGAAACCTGCTCTCAAATCCAGAGCTATCTCATGATCCACTATCCTGCCAAGAACATCAACCACCAAAGTAAAGGAAGTATAATAGAGAGCAAAGAAGCCTGCTCTCTATTAACTCAATGTTTATGTTTGAGGTTTTAGAATACCTTTCATTATTGGTTTTTGTAGCATATTTGATAAGTGAATTGGATAGAGAGTAGGCACTGCTGGTATCATCTGAAAGCAGTCATCACAGTTGATTGAAACAGTATCTCACGACTCACCTCAATCTTTGAAGGAAATTATTAACTGACACATTGTGAAGAATCATGTAATCGGGAGGATTTACTAGATGTTACTCGGTTTGTAAATTCAGAAGTATGCTTACTCTTTTTGGAAGTAGGTCACCTTGCTCAGTTCCCAAGTAGAGAAAAGGGAGTCAGCAGACTGTTGTTTTCTGTTATTTTTTTCTCCTAATTTTTGACAAACAGAGTGATGTTTAGTCAAAATGGAAACTAGACACAATTAATAATGCAATAGAGCACTTAAACATAGTCACCATTTCTATAGGATTTCAAATTCGTTCCAAAAATATTCTTGCAGTTTTCAGTTCAGATAAATCCTGGTCAACAAGGAAGATTTAGGTAAGCTTAAACCTCTTCAAAAAGGTGGGAACGCCAATCCCTTATCATTTACAGGTTTGCATTGCGAAGGTTATTGATAAAGAGGAGAAGAAGAGAATTAGCCTGGGCCCTGGATTTTCTAGATTTGCAATCTAAAGTTTTGTGACTTGTGAGGTTGACAGTTTAAATAAATTTTGAAATTTAAAGCATCTTACTAGCAAATGAACAAAGATAAAAATTTATCATCTCTGTCTTCTTTTCTTTTTCTGGAACACAGATGTTCACACTGTTAAAAGAGCAAGAGAGCCTTTAGGTAGTTTTCACATCACATGTTTGAATGGATTCCATGATCACTTAAGGGATGTCATTTTCCCATCATGTGTTCAAATGGTACCCTATGATGGGGGTTGTGGAATTTTTCACGTGGTCCAGTGCATATTAAATTCTAGATGACAGACAAATAAACAATTGATTACTCTTGATCCTTTTAATTTGAATTGCAACAAACATGAAGGGAAATCGTACTGGCAGGTTTGTAACCATAAGTTATAGTTCATCCACCTTTAAGTTAGTGGTACTGTATCAAACAATAAAAGAAAGCAATTTTGAGTGTTTAGTAGTCAATTTTGAACTCACCTGCTGCTACAATTGCTAGTTTAGAGAATGCTAATGTAGTACTATTCTCTAGCACTTCCATTCATGGAGATCTAGTGTGAGTGTTCTCTTATGTGTTTGTATATTATCAGTTTGTTGCTTTGCATCCAAGTTAGTGTTTGTAATATATTTGCTAGTTTAGAGAATGCTAATGTAGTAATATTCTCTAGCACTTCAGTTCATGGAGATCTAGTTCGAGTGTTCTCTTATGTGTTTGTGTATTATCAGTTTGTTGCTTTGCATCCAAGTTAGTGTTTGTAATATACGAGAGTTCTGATGCTTTTGCTTTCTGGACTTGATGAGACTTCATGGTTTTCAACTTAAATCTCAGTGAAGTATGCAGAACAGGAGGTGCATTTTGCATTAGTTTAAAGCTTTAATTTTACCTTTCATTCTGACATCTTTTAGTTAAATTGACATGAAGTCAGTGGAGAAGATCGCATTCATTTCCTCCACAACCAAAGTACAGCAAATTTTGAAAGTCTTCATGAAGGACAGGTCAGCTCCTAGGGAATTGGGCACTAAAGCTCATAGCTTTTTCTATTAAACGAAATTTGATTATTTTTTTTTTTAAATTGATTCTAAATTGAGGATTTAAACTGTTCTAATATGTAGGGATGTGACACAGTTTTTGTGACACCTACAGCTCGTACAATAGATATTGCCCATGCATGGATTATGGTAATCCTCATGCCATCTTTCTTGTATATAGTTGGCTTTTCTATGTTGGTAATGTTCTCTATGTAATTTTTTTCCCCTTAAATTTTACACACAGAGAAATTCTGTTATGTTGGTGGTCTCACCGGTGTCCAGTGGAAGCATAATTGAAATGCTTGAGAAGTATGTTTATAATATTCTTGTACATTTTTTTTTTTTTGTTGATTTTCCCTGTATGATTCTGACTAATTCTCTTCAGATTGTCTCCATTTTCTTGTATAATACTTGGTTTATCAGTCTTCTTATCGTTGTACATGTGGATGCTTGTTTAATTTCTAGGTACATATTTTTTGCTGACAAAGTAGAAATTCAGGACATCACTAAGCAAACATGCTTGTTTGTACTGGTGGGGCCCAAAAGCAACCAAGTATGGATGTTGTGAGTTTGGTTTTTTATTTTATTTTATTTTGTTCTTCGTCCTACTGGTTTTGACTTATCTGATTATGTTGACATTGTGCTTGTACATTGTATGCAAACAGGTAATGGTGGGTTTAAATCTTGGTGACCTTGTTGGACAACCACACGGATCACATAAGCATTATACTGTAATCTTCAAAGTTGCCCTGATCGGTCATACACCTTTATGAGAATTATTTGTTTGATTTTTTTGGCAGCATATTTGTAAGAAATGTTCAGTTTTTTGAAGCATCGCATATTTACTTGGAAGTCGACATGAGTAGAGTTGGTTTATGAATGAGTGGTCTTAAATCTTCTTAAGATTTCTTCCCTTCACTCTGACATTTATATCCTGTAGGCACATCCAACTGCAAAAGCAACTCCTTTTCTGTTCCATTCTGATTAGGCAACATCCTCTTCTTTTTTAGGTCTTCAGCCTAAATAGTGTATCTTAGGTATGTCCTATGGTGGAGGTTGTGACCGGGAGCAATGACAAGTGTTATACACTCTCAGCGCTGTGGCACAGGTTTGAGTCATGAGAATTGACTTCTCCATAAAAAGGTGGGGGAAAGGCTACATACCTACTTCCTCTCCAGACCTTGCTGTAAGCAGGAACCTTGTGCATTAGGTACAACCTTTTTAGGAATGTTCTGCAGTCAACTAAACTGTTCACTCATTTTCTACCCCTACTTTACTTCAGTTACACTAGATTTTCTGTTTAGTTAAGTGAGAGCTTTTCTATCTTCTATACAGGGTTTGCATATAGCATCAGCTTTGAAAAGTCTTACCAAAGAGAACTTTATTGTTCTATAGGAATTCTTCCTTCACATGCATAGTCAGTCTACTGGTGGAAGTTGGAATAAGTGGCCAAAGATAGTAAAGCTATTCAATGAATAGATGTATAAGATCAAAGTTTTTCCATTTGCAGGTGAATGGGATGCCAATAACTGTAGCAGTGGGAAATATTATATCTGAAAAAGGGTTTTCACTGTTGATGTCCCCTGCTGCTGCCGGATCTGTCTGGAAAACTCTTCTAAGTCGAGGTGCAATTCCGATGGGTTCTAAAGCATGGGAAACATTCAGGGTTTTTCAAGGTTGTTAAATATTATAAGTGCTTCACATGCTTTCTATTAGATTTGAACATTTTTCATTTCTTATTTGGCTTCTTCAAACCACTTTTGATTTATAGTTGGCGGTCTTCTTCAAGTTGTGCAAATTTCTTAACCTTCATGCGTTTATCTGTGTGTGCATTGACACTGTAATGTGTTTTTCGAGATGACTAGTTGTAGTGGATTCATGCCATGGTCTGGCTAACATAACCAACTTGTACTGATGGGTGATGACTTAAAAATAACCCAGTATCTCTGTGGAATGCTGGCTTATAAAAATGAAATAGAAAAGAAAATATGTATCTTTCAATTGCTAGAGGTCATAGTGGTGCAAGAAAAAGAGAATGATAATAATTCCAGATTAAACTACTTTGAAGTTTGAAGACATGGTCTCATTTTATATTCCCGATATTCTTTGCTCTGTTGATTTATGTGATCAAGCTGGACCAACTAATGTGTGCAGGAAGGCCAGCTCCTGGTAAAGAGCTCACTAATGAATATAATGTTCTGGAGGCTGGTTTGTGGAATGCCATTTCTCTGAACAAAGGTGCCTCCTTTCCTTCCATAAAATATGTGCTCAGATAAATATTGTGATGGTTGATCTGAATCATGAAGTCTCCTTAGGTTGTTATAAGGGACAAGAAACCATTTCTAGACTCGTAACATATGATGGCATCAAGCAGAGGTTGTGGGGAATTCGTTTATCATCACCAGTGGAACCAGGCAGTCCCATCACTGTGGACACAAAAAAGGTATGACTTATTCATCCTCTATTTTTGAGTTGACTAACTTGTAAAAAGTGAGGTCAAGGAAGACGGAAATTTTCAACCACCAAGAAAAGCCTGTCTTGTCACTTGGGAAAAAATGGGATTGCGGCAATCAAAGGCATTCTACCTTTTCTTTCTTTTTTCTTTTTTCCTTTTTTATAATTGTCTAAAAAAATTTCTTTCCTTCCGCTCCTTATATTCTTCACCCATCTGCTATGGGTTTCCATATCCATCTCCGCAGAGATCTCCAGATCACAAGACTTGAAATGATAGAGAAGAAAAACTTTCTAACAATACATCCTTGTAAGGAAAAATGCTGTTTTATGAAATTTTATCTTGCCCTTGTTCTCGAACACAATTACTTCTTAACCAAAAGTAGTTGCCCTCTGGTGCTGCTATGCTATTCTTGAATGGAGGACATATGGCAAAATGGTCCCACTAGTATTTGCTCATAAGGACCACATGACCTTTTTCTGGGTTTACTAACTTGGAGGGTCAATATTATAACTTCCATACGAGCGTTGTTCCAGCAACTCTTTATGTGCAATTACCGGCATCAAAAACAACTCCTAAACTCAGTAGCTTGTGTTCATTTGTCTATAATCCCAAAAACTAATTGGAGGGTGTTTTTAGCATTAGAAACCCAATGAATATTGAAGGTGAAACTTGGAATTGGGAAACCTGAAGTTGGTGTACATTTAGTTGTTGGGACTGCTTACAGTGTTTTTTTTTTTGGGAATTTGTGTCATGAAAGTTTCTTGCATGTTTCCTTGAACTATGTTCAGAATCTTCAGAAGGCAACATTTTATCCCTGTAAACAATACAATATCCTAAACAACCTATAGGCTATATTCTTGAATTCAATTCTTTGTCTCATCCTTTTTTCATTTTTTCCCATGTAGGTTGGGAATCTGACAAGTTATGCAGCTGGAAGGAACAAATCTGAGCACTTTGGTTTGGGTTATATCAAAAGGCGAGCTGCTTCTGAAGGTGATACTGTGATTGTGGGAGACAACATTGTTGGGACAGTGGTGGAAGTTCCTTATCTTGCTCGTCAGTGTCCACCATCAAAGAGCTCGACATCTTGACTTGGAAATTCTTGTGGATCAGTTTGAGCAGCATAAAAGCTCTTAGCAGAAAATATGGGTCCACTGCTTGATGTTCCTCTGTGCTTCAAACAGTTATTGAAGTTCCAGCACAAGTAAGGATTTCAAGTGCTGTTAAGCTTGTCTTTGATGGATTGAGCATGGGTTTATTTAATTTTTTTCTCTTATAGCATATTATTAATGGTCTCATAATATTTTAAAAAATATGCGTTTATTCAAGCTTTCTGTGATTCAACATCAAGTAACCTACTTTCTTATAGCATATTATTGAGGGTCTCATAATATTGAAAAAAGTTAAATCATTTTTTAATAGAGAATTTTAGCCTAACCAAACGCTTATCATGAACACGTGAATTTTATTCGTAGTAATGTGATTTCTGGTGATGAGATTCTCATTCCTTATGTCTGATTCATTGGAGGTGTGGGAATGTGATTTCCATTGCCGCATTTGTAATGTCATTATACATGTCTATCAGTCTTACTGTCTAGAGCTAACATGCATTTACATGATTTTGTAAGGCAATTAATGTAAATACCTTAAACATTAGAAGAAAAAGTTTAAAAAAAAAAAAAAAGCAAAAGAAGATTTTGATGATGATCAAGACGAATCATTAAGAATACTAACAGCTTCTGATCGTTGTTCATCGGTCAAATCTGTAGGGAAGTTGACCAGAAACTTGAGTTTTAGATCCCCTCTCCTCCCTCCTTCTTTAGATTTCGGCATGCCCTGGCCGGGGATGATCTTTTCGTAGCCTGGATATATGATATCCTCAAATGACAAAGTCATCTTCTCACCTCCAAGCAGAGGGACACTAATGGTGCAACCCGTGAGAGCTTTGATCAGAGGGACCTCAACTCCGAGCTCCAAATCATCGCTTTCTCTCTTGAAAATTGTATGTCTTTTCTCGTCGATCATGAAGATGATATCTGCTGGCAGAGTACCCGGTCTTTCATCGCCTTTTCCCTCGAATGTAATCTTTGTTCCTGTCTTCCACCCAGGCTTTATTTTTATCTTCAATAACTCTTCTTCTTGAACAATCAACCTGTCAACAGAAGTGACATTCCAATTGTATAGTGGTGGTTACATATCTAATTAAAGTGCTAAAATTTATCTAAAATTTAATAGAGAATATTTTTTGGAAGGATGCTGGAATGGCGTGCTGAAGATAAATTTAGAGCATTTTAGGAATTTTGTCTAGCCCCATCACAGAATGGAGCTTCAACAGGATAGACAACACAGTAACCAATTTGCCGCATCCTCTCTAGGCTAGGTATATTTGGAGAGCCTTAGAAGCTAGAAAAACCAATTTTAACAGTAGTGAGTGTTATTGGAGTACACACTAGACAAAATACATAAATACATAATGTACTTTCTTTTGTATTTTTATTAGGCAAAATATGGAGTTGCTCTAACATACATGTATGTTTATGTATCAATTACTAGGCTACGGATAGAAACTAGACAACGTGAAGTGAAGTCCCACATCGCCTGAGTACTAAAGTAATATTAAGTATATAAGCATGAGGGCACCTCACCTTAATAGCTACTTTTTGGGTGAGTTCTACACAAGACCGTGTAACAGACAATTCTCTAACCAAGCGTGTATTTTTCATAAGGAATAACTTCTACAATAATGCTACATACTTAGGATTTTTTGCTTAGAAAAGTATTCAGAATTTGAAATGTATGGGTCAAATTTATCCCGGGTGTGATTCACATCACACTAAATTTAAAGCTACACCATACAGTGAGATATGAAATACTTTTGTTGGTAAAAACTCTGGGTACATAGGGTTGTAAACAAGTTGAGCCATGTAGGAAGTATATGGGGGAAAACAGTCCCGAAATGAGGCGAAATGACACCAAATGCATGGAATAGTCCCGAAATGCGAATTTAGGCACCCGAAATGGCCTATAGCTATGCCAAACATGCACGATATGGACATGTAATGCAAAGACAGAAGCTAGGCAGTCCCAAAAAAGGCACTTTCAGAGTTATAAACATGGCCAAACAGCCAGCATAGGTAGGGCAAAAATGGCATGCAAGAATAGGGGCCAAGAGAGGGGTAATGAAGCAAGTGATATAAGAAAATTCCAAACTGAAAAATTTCCTTCTACAACATTGAATAGGGACCAAAAATATGAATGTTTATAGTATATGGCCAACCTCAAATCAATATACAAACATGCTAAAAAAAGGCACAAGATTGAGGCTCAAAAGGTGCTATAACATGAAGTATACAAAATAATCACCAAACAGAAAAAAAATGTTAATGAAACATGAAGTATAGACCAAAATAAGACTATTTCCAGAACTGTAAAATGGCCAAAAACAAAAGCATGATAGGCTAACTAAGCATGCAAGAATGGGGAATAAAAGAGAGATATAACATGAAGTGGCATATGGAGGTCCCAAACCATGAAAGGCCCTAAATGAAACATGAAGAATGGACCAAAATAAGACTATTTCCAGAACTATGAAATGGCCAAAAACAAAAGCATGGTAGGCTGCCATAGCATGCAAAAATGGGACCAAAAAAGGAGTATAACTACAAATGGCACATGGAGGCATCAAATGGTGAGGGGCCCTTCAACAATGTTGAAGAAGGGCCCAAAATAAGCAAATTCACAGATTACATCATACTCAAAAACAGATTACTCATGGGCCAAAAATAGCATGCAAGATTATGACATATAAGAGGATCAATGAAGCAAGTGCATCATGGAGGGCTCAAACAGGGTTGAGCCCTTAATGAAAAGTGAAAATGAGCTCAAAAGAGGGCCACTTTCAGTTAGGGCCGGAGCTTGAAACAAAAAGCAAGTGAGGCTTACAAATAGATCAAGAAAAAGGGTCAAAAGGGTAAAAGCATTACTTACCCTTGAAGACTCAAACTTTTGTTGCTTCTTGGATGAATTTGCAGCTTCTTTGGCCTTTGGGAAACCTTCCTTGTTGCTGGAAATGAGGTGGTGGTGGTAGAGCTTGGTGGTGTAGAAGAAATGGTGATTAGGGACTTAGGG